TCAAGATCCTGGGAGGAGAATGGAGGAGAAGGGATTGCGGTGTGACCATCCCCCCTGGGGGGTGATTTTTCGCTTTCTGTCTCTATGTCTTTCTCTGTCTGTCTGGCGAGTGCACGTGCCCTATAGTGAAAAAAAAAAAAAAGAAAAACCCCCCAAAAAAAAAAAAAAAAAGGAGTGTGCTTTTTCTAGAGAGAGAGAGAAAGGACCCACAATGGGACATTGTCACCCACAATCCCTTCTCCTTTGCTTCTCCATCCTATTTTTATTTATTTATTTATTTATTTTTGAGTTTTTTGCTGTAGGGTGCGTGCTCTCCCTAGAAAGACAGAGACAGAGACAGAAAGCAAGAAATCATCCCCCCAGGGGGGATGGCCACACTGCAATCCCTTCACCTCCATTCTCTTCTTGGGATCTTGGGCACGCATGCACACGTGCCCGGCTTGAGTTGAAGCCATCAGATCCGGAACTCGAACCGCGGTCGACTACATGGGAGTCCAGCAACATAGCCACTATGCAAACTGCTGGTCCCCCTATTTGAGTTTTAAATTTAAATTCTGAAACCTGGATCTTATGAATTGACAGTTATACCTATGCTCATGGTCTCATCTTAAATTCATAATTGTTAATTTCCTATGTTGCCTGGAGCCACGTCTACATTTCCCTGTTGCAAGCCTCCACAACTTTCTTAGAAATCTATTTCCTACCTTCTACCTTTTTTTAATCCTGTAAAACCTCCTTCTTCTTCCTTACATTCAGTCGACAGCTTTGTCTCCTATTTAAAAATAAACAAAACCCAACCAACCAACCAACCAACCAAACAAACAAAACCAGAAGCAACCTGAGCATTTCCACATGCTGCCATGTGCATATACCCTGCCATACCCATGCTATTATGTGACTGGTGTGTCCCTGCTCTTATGCAAGGGGACCTCCTGATGTGTGCAGTGTACCTAGTGCCCTTTTGTCTCTTCAAGGACATCACTCCATCAACTCTTTTTTTCTTTCATCTATTTCTCTTCTTTACCAGGTCAAGCCCGTAAAACACAAATGTACTGTAATTATTTTTTCATCTTCAAAAATTTCCAACTACACAACTCTTTGAAGCCATTGTTTCCTTTATAGCAACATTTCTAGAGACTTTATCTATCCCAGCAGCATGTGAGCTCCAACAGGGTGAGGATTAAGGATGTCATGTTCACCGTTATATCTCTAGTGCTTAGAACAGTGCCTAACCAGGGTAGGACACAGGTATTCATTGAATGAATGCCTCCGTCTCCACTTCTTTTGCTCTCTTTGACAAAATTCTTAGTCCTTCCTTACTTAGCTGATCAAAAGCATTTTACATTATTGGTTGTTCTTTATTCCTTAAAATAATTTAGTCTCACTCAGTTTGGAGAACAACATTCTCCAGGTTTTCTACCTAGCTAGCTCCTAGGATGCTTATCAATATTCTGGTTCTTCTTTATCTTAATCCTTGCCTGACTCCTGTGTTCACTCCTTTAGTAAATCCTTGTATCCACTCCCTTAGCAAATCCTTTTACATCTCCTAGCCTTAAATCCTATCTATCTGTTGATGACCTCTAACCTATTTAATATTAAGTTGTGGGGAAAGTCATGATGGGTTTTTCTATGCAAAAATGCATCACAACTTTTCCAACAACCAATATTACAGACAGCCGACTTGCCAGCCTAATTTGGATCATGTAATAGGCACCTCATGTTTTTGCAAAACCAAACACCTACCCTTTACCCCCGCCTTTTCTTCTCATCTCAGTAAGTGAAGTGTCCATCCTTCCTGTTATTCAGCCCCCAAACCTTTGTCATTCTTGTCTCTACTTTTTCTCTGCCCCCATCTAATTCAGTGAAGAGATACTATTGGTACTACTTTTAAAAATTCCTATAATCTCTTCATTTCTCTTTTTTTTTCACTGTTACTACTCTGGTTCAAGCCCCTGTGGTGTCTCAGCTGGAGTTTACACACTCCATAACTTGTGCTGATGTTGCTCTCTATACCATAAACAGTACGATAATCCTCTAAATTATTAATCAGATCATACCACTGTTCTTCCCAAAGGTTTTCAGTGCCTGTCCATCTCCAAAGACAGGCTCTCCTTAAATGGCTTATGATAAGACCTCCATGATATAGCTTCTCTTTCTGACCTCCTGTCCCACACTCCTCGTTTCTCATTCTGCTCTGTCGGCCCCTTGCTGTGTCTCTAAGACTCACTCTAACATCAGGGCCTTTGCCCATTCTGTTCGTCTGCCAAGGATGCTCTTCCCCCTCTGCCTATGTAATTTTCTGTCATACTATATCTTTGCCCATCTCTATCCCATCTGATGGGCTATATCTTTTCTCATTTGCTTTCATTCACCACCTGCTCCCCAGAATATGAACTGTGAGGATAGTCTGTTTTTTCTTAATGTCCACTGCTGTTTTTAAATTTAGTTTTCCTTCAACACATAGTAATTATACATATTTATGGGGTACAAGATGCTATTTCAATGTATGAATGCAATGTGTAATGATCAAATCAGGGTAATTAGCATAGACATCACCTCAAATATGTATCTTTTTTATGATTAGAATATTCAAAATTCTTTCTTGCAGGCCAGCAGGTGGTGTGGTGGTTAAGGAGCAGGATCCCCATGTGGCTGACCATGGTTTGAGTCCTGGACTCAGCGATATGTGCGGTGTGCCCAAAATCCCAAGAGGAGAATAGAGACAGGATGAGGCATGGCTTTCCCTCTTGCGGGGGTGATTTCTTGATTTCTGTCTCTGTTTCTGTCTGTCTCTCTGGTGAGTGCACAGGCCCTATAACAAAAATATCTCTTAAAAAAGAAAGTATTTTTCATTCCACACTGGCAAATTTCTTAGAGCTCCTTCATCAGTCTCCTGCTGGCCACCATTTTAGATATGAGGATAATGCTTTTTAAACCATTCGTTCATTGCTAAATTCTGAGCTCCTAGAATAATGTCTGGCACTTAGTAGGTGCTCAGTTAATAATGGTTTAACAAACCCATGTACATATATCTATGTAGCAAAAGTCAAACTTGATAGCAACTTGGACTCGTGCTTATCTGGTTATAGATAGGTGACTTGTAACTTTGGCCCTTTATAGTCCCTGTATTTTTTTTTTTTCTCCAGTACCACCATAAAGAATTTTTTCTACTAGACATAACCTACATATTTGCCTTACTAAAATAGGAGAGAAAGTCATGGGAACTAGTTACTAATTTTAAAATAGCCTTCAATAGTAAAGATCAAGGTGATTTATAAGCAAAATGTTCATGTAGTACATAAACCTAGAATATGCATAAATATACCTCAGTTTCAAAAACCTTGCCTACCCGCCCTTGGTCGGATGACATTTACACCATTCAACATGATTCACCTAAGAGACAACAGTGTTTGAGACATTATGTTTATTCCTTGGGATGGCCCCACAGTTATTCTCACTTTTACTATTTACAGTATAAAGATAAAGGAGACGTGATTGAGAGGTTTTTTTTTTTTTTCCCCAAAAATAATTGCACTGTCATATAAGAAGATGCTATGGCTTATGACAGAAATCGGTAGTATGAGTCCCCAAAATCAGCATGTTTCTAAATATCTAGGAATAAAATCGAAACTTTATGGGGGCCTACTGACTAGTAGTTAAGTATTTAAGGAGGGGAATGTAGTGATTTACTATGTGTCGGGAGATATGCTGAGTACTTATAAAGCCTGCAAGGTTGTAGCATAAAAGCCAATTAACAACCCTCTCTCTCAATATGGTACCTGCTTCATTTTGGAAGAGATCTATAGCTGTTCTTCGTTCCTGTTCTCTATACCTATATACAGCCAGCACGATCTAAACATCAATCAGATCATGCCACTGTTCACAAAAGTTTTCTTCGACTGCTCATTTTCAAATAAAGGCAGTCCTTATATGGCTTAAGTTCTTTTTGAACATATGAGAGGTCCTCAAGAAGTTCACGGAAAATGTGTATTGTGAAAAAACCATGTGGGCCAGTCAGTGGCATGGTGGGTAAAGTGGCTGGATTCCTTATGGATGACTGCATGCTTTGAGTCCTGGACCTAGCAGCTTGAGAAACATTACCGGTGTGTGTGCTTGCATGCCAAAAATCCTCAAAAGGAAGGAGGAATGAAATAGAAGGGATTGCATTGTGACCATTCCCTGTTGGCAGTGCTTTCTTCTCTCTGCCTCTTTCTCTGGCAAGTACATATACTCTGTAGCAAAAAACAAACAAACAAACAAACAAACAAACAAAAAAACCAACCCAACAAAACCCCCCAAATTATAGATTTCAATTTTTTTTTTTGCACAAAACAAGATCACATTTTAATTTCAATTTCTCACAAACTTTTTGAAGTACCTCGCATGCAAGAAAGATGACAAATATCGAACATAGACAAAGGTAACTAAAAAGTCATATTTCTGGAATTTTGTACTGGAATTAAACTGCTGGCTTTTAGACATGTTGGTTTAGGGTTCAGCTTACCTTCCCTTTCTGCTGCTTTGAGTCATGTGTGTTCATGCTGTCTCTGTGGCATACGAGGGGCTTCTAATAAGAAAGTTAACCCTTTTCTAGGGCATCACAACAGTCAGGTGCTTTTCTGGATCAGAAAATATCTTCCCTCCAGCTGGAAAGAAAGTGCTCTCTGATTGTGGGGTCCATGAACCGGCCAAGCAAGAGTTCGATATCTACATGGATGAGCCTGAGCAGGAGGACAAAGACAGCTGCACAGGCAAAGAGAACTCCGCCTTTGAGGATGTGTATGAAGTAGACACCAGCACACTCAAGTCAGACCTTCACTTCCTGCTGGACTTCAGCACAGGTAATCTGACTTACCTACGGCTGATGGTGCCCTCTATTCCTAATGGTCTGCAGTGCTCGATAGCCGCTAACTAGCAAGAGAAAAACAGGACGTAATGACTATTTTCACAACTGCCTCTGGAGGGTTAGTGGATGGAACAATTTGTTTTTTTTTCAATTAAATGACTTACTTGAAAATGTTGAACCCCTGCAGTTTCCCCTATGCTGGTAGATTCATCTCTCCATTCTCAGTCTGAAGATGCATCCGATTTTGGCAAAGATGTGATAAACGTGACTGAGTATGCTGACGAAATTCATCAGTACCTTAGAGAAGCTGAAGTGAGTTTTCCCGACTTCTACTTCTATTTCCACCACCCCAAGTTTGTAATATTAAGATATATTACAGTGGTTAAGATGCTGGACTTCCACATGGCCAACTGCAGTTTGAGTCCTGGACCCGGTACCTTGAAAATCATGCTGGGCATGTGTGTATGCATGCCCAGAATGTCAGGAGGAGAATGGAGGAGAAGGGATTACAACATGGTCATCCCTCTGAGGGATGATTTCTCACTTTCCCTCTCACCGTCTCTCTCTCTGGTAAACACATGTGCCCCATGGCAAAAACCTTAACAGACAAATGCTACAAATTCTTGGCCACATCTACTTGTGAATGGCACCCTTAGGACATTTCAACCTAAAAATGTCTGAAAAATCTCAGTTGTGATGTGAGTAGTAATTAGCCAGACTGTTTTGTATGGCTAGAGGAGTTTTTATGTTAAGTATTACACCTTTAGAAATATATCATATTGCTATTTCCCCCTCTTTTAAGTTATTTGTTAACTAATTACATTATGAAACCAGAATTTTATTCTTTCTTCCTTATTGTGATTAAGATATATTTGGCATTAAATCAGGATCCACATAACCTTTCCTCATGAGAACTTTTTTTTACTAGCAACTGTACTATGGAGTTATATTTCTACTATTGCAGCTATTTAAATACCAGAATTTTTTCCCCAAACAGATAAGGTACAGGCCCAAAGCGCAGTACATGAGGAAACAGCCAGACATCACAGAAGGCATGCGCACGATTCTGGTGGACTGGCTGGTGGAAGTTGGTGAAGAATACAAGCTTCGAGCAGAGACTCTGTACCTAGCTGTCAACTTCCTGGACAGGTTTCTTTCCTGCATGTCTGTTCTGAGAGGGAAATTACAACTTGTAGGAACAGCAGCTATTCTTCTGGCTTCGTAAGTATTCTTTTAGCTTGAATACGGCAAAACACTGTTAAAACACTTGATTTTTTTTTTCCTGTTTTTGCCCTAAAGCACGTATGCTTGCCAAATTGAGAGAGAGAGAGAGAAAGAGAGAGAGAGAGAGACAGACAGAGGCAGAAGGAGGGAAAGTGAGAAATCACCCCCCTCCCTGGGGAAGGATGGCCATACTACAATTCCTTCTCCATTCTCCTTTCAGGATTTTGAGCATGTACACATATGCGCCCAGTGTGAGTTTCAAGCCACTGGGTCCAGGTTTCAAACTGGTTGACCATGTGGGAGTCTAGCTCATTAACCACCATGACACTGGCTGGCCCCACGTGATTTTTTTTCTCCTGCATTTATTGAAGGAATTCAATGTTTGATAATAAAAATATTCTTGCTCTTGTTGATGAAAGATCATTGTCTTTATCTTATCCACTGAGAAATTGAATGTTACCACATGTTCACTCTTTAGTTCTTATGGCTAAAATTTGAAGTTCATTGTTATGACTAAAGCAGCCATCAGCTCAAGTTGAGGATCTAATTTAACTATTTGGCAGTGTAGTCTTTGGCTGTATCTAATACCAATGAAAGTCCTCCATAAAGAGATTAGGTTACATAAAAGCTGTCTTCATAATATAGGAAATGACCCTTAGTAACAGTTTGTTTTTTTGGTTACGGAGAACAAAATATTTTAGTTGCTTCCTGTTACTGTCAGTCAATTATAATACCTAATTGAGTGGGGAAAAGAGCTGGGCAGCCGAGCTGCCTTTAGGGGACCTATTTCTGAGTGGTGGTTTCCTTTCTATTCTTCTGATTTAGAAATTTTGTTACTGATGACAAAATCTTACCAAAAGAAAGGGTAAACAAAAGCAGAAGAAGCTGGTAATAATGAAATTATATAATTTTTCCTTTGACAATACAATAGTATTTATTAATTCAATAAAGTTGAATATGATCTTTTTTAAAAATCTAAGGTATATAGATTTTTAAAAAGAATTATTTATTTATTCATTTTTATTATTAGCTTTAATTTGCTATAGGTCATGTGCACTCACCAGAGAGAGAGAGAAGGAGGGAGGGAGGGAGGGAGGGGAGGAGAGAGAGAAAGAGAGAGAGAGAAAGAGGAAGTGAGAAAACAAGCTGCCAGGCCCAGGACTTGAATCACAGTCGGCTATGTGGGAGTCCAGCACCTTAACCACCGCGCCACCTGCTTACCCCCTAGATATTTTTTTTCCTATCATTATGTTCATCATACCATTCTTTTCCACAATATGTTTGGAGGTCTATAGAATTAATAGGAATTTACCTATAGTGTCTATCATTCAGAATCTTTTACTATGTCAGAGATCAAAACTGAAAATTAGTTGGAAATGGTTTTTGTTACCACTCGTAGCCGTAAGTATGACATATCCTTGTAATGCTCATGTCCCTGGTCTGGAAACAAGCTCCTAACATTTTCTTTGCCCTGTGCTATTCTATGGTATTTAAGCGGATATATAGGTACAAAGTAAAGAATCTGCAAGTGCCATACTGGGTGTCATGGCTTATGGTAGCACAGGTTCTAAACTTCACTTCTAAAAACTGTACCTTTCACAGGAAATATGAAGAGATTTATCCACCCGAAGTGGATGAGTTTGTCTACATAACTGATGATACATACACAAAACGACAACTGTTAAGAATGGAGCACCTGCTCCTGAAAGTCCTAGCTTTTGATCTGACAGTACCAACCACCAACCAATTCCTCCTTCAGTACTTAAGGAGACAAGGAGTGTGTGTCAGAACTGAGAACCTGGCCAAGGTATGCCATGTGATTTCCAGAAACTTCCAGTGTCCAGCACGGTAGAAAACAACCTTCCCCAGTTATTCTTTGATTCTTTCTTCCTTTTCATTTTTTTTTTTTCCCATGGGCTCAGAAAAAACTTTCTAGCAATGGAAAAGTGCTGATTTTAAGATTATGACATCTGGTTAGAAGGCATTACTATTAACTCCATATGTCTAACCAATCAACTATTAAAGGAATTTAAGTGGGGAAACTGTTTTCTCATTGCTTACAGAGCACATGGGAGAAATCCCACTTAAATTTACAGAATGAGACTGGAGTAAATATAGTTTAATTTGGTTCTCATCCTAACATACTGGATAACAAAGCATTAGTTAGTCATTTGCAGTTACAGAACTTTAGTGGAAGGTATTAAAGTATTGCTTAGGCCAACTTGGTTTCCAGCTACTATGATCTACAATGTAATATGCAAAGGAGTGTAAGAAAGGCTATTTAAATTCCCAATATGTTTCTTCAAGTATGTTCCCATTGGTACTGTTTGAGCCTCCAGTTTGCATACGTCTGCCTGATAAATTAATAGCTTTAATATGGTCATATTTTTGCCTATGGTTGAAGGTTCTGTTCCCATTCCAGCTGCCTGCGCAATGCTGCTTTTTCTGACCAACATAAACTGCATGACTAGTATAAGACAGGAAAGGAAACCTATCATATGTACCATGTGGCTAGGCTAATGTTATGCACTCAAATTTTATTACCACATACATGTTCTTCTTGTAGATAGGCATAATAATTATTATCCCAGTGAATAATTTTGACTATATATATACATACAGATATAGATATATAGATATACAGATATATAGATATAGATATATAAATATATACACACACAGAGCTGGAGGGGGAGAGAGAGAAGGTGGGAGGGAGGGAGAAGCAGGTATTTTTGACAAGGTCTGATGAGACCTTGTCAAGATATCCCTGGTGCAGCTCCTAGGTAGCTAGGATCACAGATAGCTAAGGCCACCATGCCCAGCCTGAGCTGGGCCAAGAACCAAACTCAGGTGTCCCAGGTGGCCTTAGTTACTATAAAGCATCACCCTATTGCTGTTGCTACCACAGCTGGGCCTTTAGTATATATTTTTGTGCTCATCACTAGAAGCTAGTTGAACAAAGATAAGATGCAATTTATTCCCTTTGACATTGCTAGGTTTACTTGGGACCTTAGTCAAATTTGCCCTCAGTCAGATCTCTAATTCCAATGAGATTTTCTCTCTTGTGCTTAGTACGTAGCAGAACTGAGTCTACTTGAAGCTGACCCATTCTTGAAATATCTTCCTTCATTGATAGCTGCAGCAGCTTATTGCCTGGCAAACTATATTGTGAACAAGCACTTCTGGGTAAGATTCTAATTTCTGTCCAGATGAAATTCAAGGTTTATTTTAAACTGTTTAATAACACTCATGGTTTAGAATAGGCTTGTCTCCCATGAGGGCAAGTTAGCTTAATAAGGAAGTGGTTGTCTTGACAGCAGCCTACGAGCCTGCTGAGTCTTGCAGGTCAGTCTCCATGGCTATGAGCAACAGCTTTACTAAGGGGAGTAGAGATTGCAGTTAGCCAAGGAGACAGTGGCATACGCTCATTCAACAGAAGAGGCCGGGAAACCTCTGCCTGCCGCTATGCATGGAGTGCCCTTGAGGTGCAATCGCTGACCACTTCAAGCATGAACTGTTTCCCTCTGCATAAGAAAACCTGGATCCAATTAGAACAGCTAGAAGGGTGTACTAGGTTTTCAGAACAGGGCAGTTAGTGTTGCCTCTTGCTTGAGAAGGTGATAAGATCAGAAATGGGCCCTAGGTTTGGTTCTGAAGGTTCCTTGTTGTACTGAAAGTCAGGAGTCTTCCTTTATTTTCTGGAATGCTTCTTTCTTTTCTTTTTAAAGGTTTATTTATTTATTCTTTTTATGAGAGAGAGAGAGAAGGAGAGAGAGAGACTCACAAAAGGGTCCTGGATTTTGCTGTCATGCTCTGATCTTCCTCTTAGTCTTCCAGCCAGCCAGGAACATAATTGATGCATTCAAGTCGACCTGGGACCCGGACCCTGGGCCTTCCCACATGGCTCCAGCATTGTGCTGCAGTGCCCCACTGCCTGCACCATGGCTGGCCTTGAATGCTCTTTCTTTCTTCCCTTCCTTCCTTTCTTTCTTCCTTTCTTTCTTTCTTTTTTTAGAGAGGTTTATAATCTCAGGGTGTGTATGCTCGCTGGAAAGACAGAGTCAGAGAGACAGAAAGTGAGAAATCACCCCCCAGGAGGGATGGCCATGCCACAATCCCTTCTCCTCCATTTTCATCTTGGATCTTGGGCACACACGCCCAGTGTGAGTTTAAGCTGCCAGGTCTGGGACTCAAACTGTGGTCGACTACATGGGACTCCAGTGATGTAACCATTATGCCAAGTGCTGTTCCCAGAATACTTCTTTCTTAGACTGTATATTGATGAACAAAATTTTATCTTCTACACAAATAGAGTAGTCAGAAAGTGAGGCTCTTTAAGTAAGAAATTTTTACTCAAGAGAGAACAGGGAAAAAAAGAGATCTACCCCCAAATTGAGCATTATAAATAAATGATGGGAGAAAACAGAACATTGACAGTTCTTTATTTTATATCTGAAATATTGAAGGCGGTTGCAGATTCTTTTGAGATGAAAGGATGTGACTACTCTTTAAGAGATTTCTGCTCTTTATTTCATAATCAGCAGATGTCTTCAGATTTTTAATTCTTATGAAGTTATATGAAACAAGTTTTTTTTGTCTCAATTAGCCAGAAACCCTCGCTGCATTTACAGGCTACTCATTAAATGAAATTGTGCCTTGCCTGAGTGAGCTACATAAAGCGTGCCTCGATATACCCAACCGACCTCAGCAAGCAATTAGGGAGAAGTATAAGACTTCAAAGTAAGTTATTCACACTTTCTTACATTGTCTCTATATTTAAAATGCAATGGGTTATAGTAATATCAGAATTTTAAATAGAACAAATTGTATAGGCAATGCTAGGTTAGAAAAGTAAAGTTACATGTTGAATCCAGAAAATCCATTTGGAGAGACTTAGATTTATAATTTGTCAGCTTGTATTACTTATGGTCAGCCTGCTTCTTTCCATTCTATTAAAAGGACTAGAAAGTTTTCTGCAATCTCAGATTTTACAAAACTGACTTCGCTCTGGGTCTCATTTCAGGTACCTGCATGTATCCCTCATGGAACCACCTGCAATTCTTCCTCTACAATAAATTCCAGAACTGAAGCACTTCCAGAACTTAACCTCCACATCAACAGAATTTTGGTCTTAATTGTCATAGTTTCCTGCAGGTTGGGTTAACTGTATTGCCACAAGATAGATGGCATTTTAAAAAACATAAATGTATTTAGTTTCTCTTAGACTTCAGTAGCTTACAATATAGTCTAGAATAAACAACTTGTCTTAAGATCATGTGTTGAGCTTATTTACTAATTAGTATGGTGACACACTTGCTTGGAATTTTAGTTGAGAGTATTGTGTCATCTCAAAGCTTTCTTCTAAGTTGAGTTTATGTGTGTGGTGTCCTAATAGGATCACTTCCTGAGGCATCCAGGGATGTTCATGTTTCATAAAATGGCTATCCTGAGACCTTTTCCTTTCCTATCTTTTTCTCTCCACAGATTGGCAAAGAAAGGAAGGGCCAGCTTGAACAGATTGGGGGAGTAGGCAGTAGGTTGAGACCTGTATGCAGTTGAGTACCTCATAGGAGTGATTTGCATCTAATTCTGATTTAGGATAGTCATGTTCATTTGTAAAAGGATCCTATTGTATCGTTTGTTTTCTATTCAGGTGGTCACCAATATATTGCACTTCACTCATATATGTCACCTTCTAATAGCACTTACGTAAGATACAAATTGGGGTAGATCGAAAATAAAGCAATTTTTTTATATGTGGAACCTTTCAATAGCATTTATGTGTGATACAAGATGGGGAACATTGAATGTTTTGGCTTTCATTTCAAGATTGGAAGGAAAAACAGAAGAAGACTTGGCCTTAAAGAGGGATGGGGATTGACTTTATTCTTTGCATTTTTGTTGCTGTTAATCCCAAATTAGCATTCCTGGGACAGTAGGCCCTAGGGACATGTGAGCCTCCTGGGTTGTGTGTACCTCTGGGCCTGCCCTTGGGGCTCAGCCTGGATGACTCTGTAGAGGCTAGATGATAGGAAATAAATGTTTTCTAGATTCCTTTACATAGAAAAGATTAGATTTAGGTGGGTTTTGGTAAAATGCAAGTAGATTAAATTTACTCCAAATTTAATCTTTTTTTCAAGCACTAATGAAATTATATATATTAAAAAGAAGAGCCATATTATATATATATGTGTGTGTGTATGTTGTGAGGACTTTTTTATTTTAAGGTACTCACAAGTTTTTAAAATTTTAGACATCCTCTGCCCCCCTTTTTTCCTTGCAAAATAAGCATTCTTAAGGTGTCTCCATTACTGGTCCCAGGGAAGAAATCAGCATTTCTATTTCCCTAAGAGTTTTAAAATTTATTGTGAATGTTTCCCTAAGTGGATATGGGACCCATATCCATGTTGAATGACCTGTTTTTACATTATATAAATTTATAATCTCACATTCTAATTTATGACGGAATGTGTTTCTATTCACTGCATGTACAATACAATACATGCTGAATTACTTGGCAATGTGACAGACAAATTTCCCCCATTCCTACGCCCCACTTAGAAGGCAGTGGGAGGTGGCAATTCTGGCCAAGATTTTGGTGGTGGAAGCTCTGCACTTGTTTCTTTTAAGCCTTAAAGATTTGAGTGATTCGGCTAGGAAAACTTCATCTCATTCTCTATTTGCATTGGCTAGCCACTTCCATATAATATGTGTGTCTATCTCAAACTGGACCCAAACACTAACATCTGGACTCAATTTGGATCCAGACATGATAATATTTTTGTTTCCTCTAGCAATATTCTTGTTATAGAATATTTTGCTTCAGCTAAAAGGGACCTTAAGAAATAAGTCATTCATCATGGATTATTTTGCAAAGGAGATCCTGTTTCGTAAATCAGATTCCAAATTTGGACTTGACTCTAGGGCACAAAACTACACCAAAGGACTTAAGAGTTCTGAATACATATTTCTTATGTTCTTTGTTGCCAGAAGTTTACCCCCAAAACACACACTGCTGCTTACAAAGAACTAGCCCCTGGCTTTAACTTCCTTATTACTTTCTTGTGTCTTTTAAAAATATTATTTTTGTCTTTACTTTTAGAGGGTGTGTTGTGTCTTCTCACCAAAGACAGAGAGAGGGAGAAAGCATCCCCCACAATGGATGCACATAGCTATCCCCTCTCCTCGTTTTTCTATTCTGTTGGGATTTTTGAGCACATGCACATATCATACACATGAGCACCTGCTTTTCAAGCCACTGGGACCAGGACCTGAACTACAGTAGGCCATGTTTGATTCCGCTCTCACAACAACTAGGCTATGGATCCAGCCTCTGAAATGACTTATTTTAAGATAGAAATATAACTATCACCTGTGTAGCTCCACCTAGTGTAAAAGAGAATTGCAGACTTTTGTGTGGCCCTCCTCTTTTAAAAAAAGTTTATTTAGGGAACCAGCAGTTAGCGTAATGGCTATGTCGCTGGACTCCCACGTAGTTGACCGCAGTTCGTGTCCCGAACCCGGTGGCTTAAAACTCATGCCAGGCGCGTGTGCGTGCGTGCCCAAGATCCCAAGAGGAGAATGGAGGAGAAGGGATTGCGGCGTGACCATCCCCCCTGGGGGGTGATTTCTCGCTTTCTGTCTCTATGTCTCTCTCTGTCTGTCTGGCGAGCGCACGCACCCTACAGTGAAAATCTCTCCAAAAAAAAAAAAAAAGTTTATTTATTTATTCCATGAGTTAGAGAGAGAGAAAGAGAAAGCTAGCACCCTTAATAGGGTCCTGATGCTCTGATCCATTCCCAGCCAAAGCCAGCTACAGATCATGGACAAGCATGTGCCTAGCATACTCAGGGAGTCCTCCAGGCTTGAACCAGACCTTCCCATGTAGGATTGCTTCACAGAGTATTGCATTTTATCACTGCACCATCATCTAGCCAATATGGTCAACCACTGTTAGAGTCCCAGCCTGGTGGCTCGGGAAACACATTGAGCACATGTGTATACCCCCAATTCTGGTGTAATTCTGGGCATGTGTGTGCTCAGAATTGTGATGTAATGGAGAAAGAAAAAAGGATTGTACTGGGCCAGCAGGTGGCATGTTGATTAAGGTGTTAGATCCATATGGATGACTGCTTGGTTTGAGTCCCAGACCCAGTGGCTTGAAAACGTTCCAGATGTGTGTGCCCAAAATCCCAAGAGAGAATGGAAGAAAAGAGACTGTGGTGTGGCCATCCCTTTGCAGTGGGGAGAGGGTGATTTCTCACTTTTTTCTGTCTCTAGGGAGCACTCATGCCCTATGGCAAAAATCTCAAAACAAAATAAAACAAAACAAAACAAAAAGAAAAGAAAGGAAGAGAAAAAAGGATTGTGGCATGACCACATCTGAGTGGAGGGAGATCTCTCTCACAATTGCACACACTTTCTGGCAACTGGAAAAAAAGAAAGAACTGAACAGTCAATGCTGAATTTTCCAAAGAAGCTTAAAGTCAAAAAATCATGGGAAGGAGGTTAAGGGTAACTGAAGGGAGGTTAAGGGTAATAGGATCTGTGGGTGAAATGTTCTTCCTTAAGATGAAGTTTTCTGAGGCCGGTAAATGGCTGATTGAGTTGATGGACCCATTTCACTTGCCAGGGAAGGTGTGACTCAGGCCTCCATGACCTTGCTTCTCCTTAGTCGTCTCCTCCTCTTTACTCTGACTAGATTTTCTGCTGAGCATCCTGGTGTATTTGCTTGCATCAGCAAAGACACTATTATTTCCACCAACTTGTTTTCTACCTATAAACTTGATTAACTAACTGGTGAAGGAGAGAGGTATTCCTACCTTACAATGAACATATAATGGAATGTTGACTAGTTATGTATTAATAGTTTCAGCCATACAGTGCACATACATAAATACTCTCAACTGACTCGGTTATATCAACTTCTTATTCTGAATATCCTCTCCTCATCTAACTTACTCTTCAAATTAGTTGCTAAAAATCAAACCTTATTATAGGAGCAGGGGCTAATACCCATGGCTGGCATCTCATCTTTATTTTCAGTGTATGGGATATCACATTCAAAGACAAAACTAGCCCTCTCATTCCCTCCAGTTGGTAGGCAGAGAAAGAGGATACCCCAAACTACAATCCCAGCTAGGGAATTTACTTTTAAGTTTCAGTCATATTATATATACTCCCAACCCTGCCCCTGTAATAAATGGAATTATTTTTAATTGCATGAACAATTACAAAGTTGCCCAGTATTTAAGACTGGAGAGGCAGCTGAGCTTGAACCTTCTCTAACCAAGACCCAGCCAATAGAGACACTGAGTCAGGACACTCACATTCAAAGCTCAGAGTGGAAGATTGGATTCTGCAACTATAAGTTGTAGGGCTGTACTTATATACCCCCTTGCTTATATAAGCAGCTGTCGCTACAGTCAAGAATAAAAGAGAAGTCCTGTCAGGTTGCCTGCTCTGCTGTCCCAGCCGGAACGTGAATTGGAGATCAGAGGTCAGTAAATGAGGGGAAGGTCTTGAGGGGAAGAAATGGGGTCAAATTGGGCTTATCTAAGCTCAATTGTACTAAAGAGGATTTCAACTTGGTTATCTTTGCAATGAAAACTAAGTAACAACAACTTATGGAGTAGAGCATATTAATCACCAGAGTACTAATTTCAAACTTGTGTCATATAAAATGTGCTTTCTGCAATTTTGGCCAATCTCAGCTCATTCTTTCAGAGGAATTGAAACTGAGAGGCAAACACAGTGCAACACTAGTACTGTAATTCTCTTCTCACCAGGAATTTTTCCCATAGCAAAAACTCTTGTACAGGAGATCAGAGTCCTAATTCCAACTGGGGTATTGTATACTGCAAGTGTATATTGGAATTAGGAGTATATAATACAATACAATACAATACAATACAATGTTGATTGTATTCTGGTAAACTAATTGCTTTTGCCATCTTCAGATCTCTGTGACTCACGACATTAAAGACTAACCTCTCATGTCACTGTCCAATGTGTGTTGGGAAAAAAGGATCTTTTGTTTCCAATAACCATCTTTTCCTGGAAATCCACCACTAGATTCTTGTATTTGGCAGGCAAGAAAGAGGAATGTGGAAAAGGCATACCCATTATTACCACAGGGGGCTGGGAAATGTAATTTAGCTGTAAGCTCTGAAAGGGAAGAGGAATTCAGTGT